TTTTTTTGATGCCTTTCAATCTAGGGAAATAAGAAGTGTTCAATTTTTGAAGTATACATATTTTATATGTTTCAAATCATATAGCTGTGCAAATTAATTGTAGAAAGAGTCTTCACATTGCCTTACCTATTACTATTCATGGTGGCAAATGGCAATAATTCTCCCCTGGATGCCGCCGTATATAGTTCAAATATATTTTGTTGACATTGCACTTCATCTGTTTTATCCATGTCTTCTTTAGCGATTTTCCTCAAAAAATTTGATAACCAAGGCATATTTCGTTGCAGATTGTGTACCATAGTGGTGTTGAGTGTTAACGGGAAATATCGCGATCTCTTATATAGGCGATCACGAGTTCGATGTAGATTATCTTCACAATTTGATTTGGATTTGAGCGGCACAAACCGATGAATTTTGATAAAGGCTGCGAAATCCGATATGCGATAATCCACAACGCGTCCACCAGGACCTTCGGATATTGAAGGAGGATCTTCCAAGCAAGAACGTGTTATTTGCAAAGAATGTATAAAGATTTCGCCACCGCGAGCAGATAACAAATGACTGGTGGTTTTTCCGCCTGCTTTTCTATAAATATCAGATATTTTCAAAAGTTCTCAGATTACTAACCCTTTCAATCACCTTGGCATTTCCAGTAACACTGAACGACCGTTCAACAAAAAATTAATCAAGCATGAACTCGGACGGGAGGTAACATCCACCGGAGTTACCCGATGTTGTGCTAAACACGGCGGACAAGCTGACATATCTGAAGCACCACAACCCCGCGGAGTGCACCATTTCAATGTTACAGTTTCGTACTCAGCTCCTTCTTTAATACTCGTGGGTAATAAAACTTCAGTACCACATATAGCCGTATGAGCATTACGTGCATGAAGAATTTCCACATCATAATTAGCACTTGAATTGGCATTTTGTTCCTCTTTCATTGGGATTCCCGTAACCGTAGTACTGGCCAAATCATAGTGGCTCATTATAAGATGAGTTAGCTTATTAGAAATTTCCGGGGCACTAGTTGTGTGTATTTCCGTCGATAAGCAGCTTGATAAATCAATTTGCTTACGGTTTGTCACCAAAGTTTCTACATTCATCGGAACAACGTTAATTATGACCAAATGGCAATGATCTATACTCAATATTTTCTTTTGTGTCATGGCTAATGTGTTCTGCTGCATTAATACATTATGGAAAATGTCTTCTAAGCTTTTCATACTAGGATTATCACGCGCTGAAGTCACACAAATAACTCTGCCTTTGTTTGGTATTTTTTCGTTAGTCGTTACTGTGTTTTCCGCTGCCTGCGTCAACTTAAGCTGCTGCTCGGTTGGCTCAGCTAAAGCCTCTATGGCTGCTCGCAATCCATGTATAACCGAATAATCTGACGATTGTGTATTACGTTGGGGCACTCCTACTAAAGCCATAGCATTTAATACGTGCGACATATTTTGTGTGGCAAACTTCCAGGTATTCACAATATGAGCGGCAGTATCACTTACAATAAAACGTACCAATTTTCCACGAGGAAATAAATCCCAAACAATACGACAATACTCAATTGAAGATTCCACAGAACAAGTCCATAGACTTTTGCTAAATTGCAAGCCTGATGAAGTGCTAGGAATTGCATCATTAGACGGTCCCGTTTTACCTTTAAGATAATCTAATGCTATGTAATCCTCACTAGATATACTAAAGTATTGTGTGTGATCCAAAACAAAAATTGTTTTCTGGTTTAAGTCATACATGATGTGCAGTTAAGGCTTATAGTAAAGAAACTAATTTATTTGACGTAACCAGCTGTTTACCTTCTTATACGTAAATTATTGTTTTTTTTTAGACTACTTAATTTTGGAAAGTAATTAAAAATGCCATCAATAATTACTAAAAAATTCTTTAAACAATTATCCTGTCTAAACTATTCGGTCGACTACTATCAAAACTCCATGCTAAGCAGCTAAGCATGAAAGAGCGAAAGGCAATTCAAATAATAGATAAAGTCCCGTTTATGCTACCCAATTAATTTTTTATGGTTTTAATTTGCGATGCTGCATTGTCGTCTTTTTTCTTACAAAAATTTTAATTTTCATTTGTTTACCGTAACGTTTGGTCCAAAAAGTAATTCGGATTTAGCTGTAGTTGCTTTTAAAAATTGTGTTTATCTGCAGCCTTAGGGGTTAATAAAATTAATTTATATTTGCATTGGTAATTCGGTTAGTTACATAATTACGACATAGTATAATTAGGTTTCATTTACATTCACAGTGCTCGAGACCTTTACAATATATTTTTGATATTATTGATGTTTATATATATTCACATAATTCAGGAAGCCACAATTTAGAATTCATTAAGTGATTAAATTGAGTTCTTCCCCAAGCCTGGGAAAAATGGGGTGACAGAATGAGGCGTTATTCCTATTTCCTTCAACTTTGCCCAGTTTTTCCAAAACTTTATGGGATTTGACAAGTGATGAAGTTTTGCATGAATGCATACAAAAGAAATTTAAAAAAGCGATGAACAAGACAAGTAAAGACAATTTATTTTAAATTTAGAAATTGGTTATCTAACTTACGTTCATCTCGCCTTCACAACCAACATTTGAAACAACACGATACATTTAACTAAGCGGCTTCTGAAAATTTTTCTGAAGTGTCTTTTCTCTAAAGGAAAATGAACTAAAACAACAAATATTTAACAACTAATACAAATCTTTACAGGTTTCGTTTTTCAAGTCAAAAATTATGCTTTTATCTTTATTTATAATCTCGCAAACTCCTTTTTAAAAACAATATATATTAAAGAAGTATTCTTTCTTTTACTTCCGGATCTTTGGTAAGTGTTCCCTGGGATAGGATCCATAGCAGCTAAAACAACATCAGCCTGTCTCCCATGGAGATTGATCAGATTATTGCAGATAGAAACGTACAATATAACGTAGAACAATAAGAGATCGGGGATGGCCACGAAAGGTGTTGCTTGTTGATAAGGCTTTTGATTCGGGTATGAACATCTTCTCCGACGTTTTTTTTTACGAATCGCTTAAAGACTTTAAGACAGACGGCTTAAAAGAGCCCAAAATAACTAGCAATGGCAAGGCCATTTTTTACACTTCATGGCAACTCTTTCATCAAAAATAATGGTTATAAAAAAAAAGAACTTGAAAGCTTACATTCCCAGATCCTGCGTCGATAGATTTGGTATTATCGGGAATGTCCCTATAGGTTAGGCATGTCAGACAAGTCAGAATGTCCCTATAGGTTAGAAGTTATTTAAAATGCGGTGTTTGATGTTTCGATTAAGTCTGTCATTATGCTTGAGAGGAGAAGACAACAATAATGAATTTGTTCCGCTGGCCAGACGTCTTTAAGGGAAAATCCCTCCCTAAGTCTATCAATTTAAAGTTGGATTATTTTATTTTCACCTTAAAACAATCCTTTAATAGTAATTAATATGGTGATATATAAACCTTTCGCTAATTGTGGCAAGATCCCTAAATATGCTGACAAATGCGACGTGAATAAATCTCTCACTTTTGGTTCTTATGAACATAATAGATTAAACAAGACTTGTTCGAACAAAAAGCGGAAATTAAGATAAATGGCCATAAAAAGAAATGAGGAAAAAGTACTCACCAATTATTTTGAATGTCTTGACGATCAATTGTACGAAAATAACTTGTTGTCATTGGTGAACTCGCGTATAGTTTCCTCAAGGAATGATAATAAATAAAATCCTAACGAAAAAACAATATATTATGCTGTTGTCAAAAGTAACTTTATTATTTCAAAACCTTCTTGTAATCCATGTCCAGAGCCTTCTGTAAAAAGATCTCAATAGCCAGTGATTTCTTTGCATTCTTCTGAATTGGAAAGATTAATCGCTGGGATTAAACAATTTATCCGTCCGATGATCCGTCAGGATTCTATTCACGAATGAAGAAGCAATTTCTTATTGTGGTAATTCTCGCTATGATTAAATGTTTACTTTCTGTTTCTCTCACTTAAAATGTGATTTCTTCTTCTTTCATTTTGAGATTTTTGCTTAAACTCAAATAATATTGATTTTTGCATCTTGGGTAAAGTTTTTCCAGTTATACTTCAGCCAGTAAATGTCGTGATCAAGGCTATGGTGGAGTTAGTATATTAGTTAAAAAGGGTATCAATTTTAGATGCATTCCTTACAATTATACTTTTGAAATTTTTATTATCAAAACCATGAATCTTAAATAGATTTGTTTATAGCATCGTGTTACTTTTCACCCAGCATAGATGTACGAACGTTTTGGGGTAAAATTCAGAGATTATGACTTTCTTGATGGTGAACAAAATGTTATTATAGGTGGAGATCGCAATGTTAGGCATTGCTCGTATGGCGATCAGCTCTCGACTAATAACGGAAAGATCCTTGTAAATGCCATCAATGCCAGCAGTTTTAAAGTTTGAAAGAGTGGTGATCCTAGCTTTCACTGTAATCGGATTGATCGCACCGCGAGTAATGTCTTG